GAAATATTACTCTAATATCGCTTTTGATGATTCTGATGTAATATCTCTTTCGTGATTGCGTTAATATAAAAATCTAAATAGGAATCACTACCATTAGGTGGTGTAAAAGATAATTTACTTCTGTTAAAATAACCCATTTTTTTAGAATGAAAAGAATCCAATTTAACCTCTTCAGTGTTGTATTATTTATCATAAAAAAAATTCTTTTAATCTTAAGCGTCTAGAAAAGTTAAAAATTTCCCAGCTAATTTAATTTTATTGTGATATTTCAGTTTTGAACAGAATTTTAACCCTTTCCCTAACACTATATAGTCATTATCAGTTAATTTTCTACACAAGAGGTTCAATACGGTTTCTTTACCTCTCTTAATTTGTTTTCTTCGCTTTTTTTCAACCTTCTACTTTCTTCTATTTTCGAATCTTTTAAATCTCCTATTTTTCTTTCTTGAGACGTCATCTCTATTAGTCCTTGTAGAATTTTTACTAAGTTTGTTAATGTCTTTCTCATGGTTATTGTTTCTGATTCCCCCAATTTTACGGCTTCTGCGTACGTCCTCTTAATAAAGGTGCTGTGGTAAGATTGCAAGACATAAAACTTGCATAACACACAGTATTACAAATAGAACATGACCCCTTTCTCCCTCTATCAAGGTTTGGATTTGCCTAAGGGCCATTACCTTGCACAACTCATTTTGTCCATGCTGAATTTAAGCTGGTCAAGGAAGTTAGGCAAGTGAATTTGTAAATCCCTACACAAACACACACACACACACACAAACACACACATATATGTGTGTAATATTATAAGGTTATAAAATAGTTACAATGAAAAATTATTTGATATCTATGTCCTCCACATACATGAACATCAAAAAAACTTTTGTTATTTTATATGTACATATAATTTCTGTGTAAGTTTTGTTATTTTATATGTACATATAATTTCTTTGTAAGCTTTGTTATTTTATATATACATTTAATTTCTGTGTAAGTTTTGTGCTAAATTTGATTTTGGTGTTTCAATTTTAGAAACTTACCTCTGTTGCATCTTAAAAAAAGGAATCTGAAACAATTGGGATAAGTGCGTCTGCACATTTCATGCATTTCAGAAACTGCAACTATAGTCTCTAAAGAAGTTATTAAACCAAAAAATTACACAACTTCTATACATTTCTTCAATAAATGTCCTCAAACTTGGGCCAAAATAAAAAATTTAAAACTCAAACTGCATCATTGTCTAAGACTGTTTCAATAATCCTCAACCCAATGTGAGCAAGAGAAAAAAAGCAAAACCTTTATGCTCATTTACATTAAGCACAAATCACAGCTAGAGTTTCATTAAAATTCTCCAAGCAGATTTGAAGCAATTACAAGTTTTGTCACAGATGTACTACTGGGAAGACAAATGGACAGATGGACAAACTGACATACATAGGAAACATAATATTCTAACTTTTGACTGATATGTTGAGATAATAAAATTCTTCACTGACCTTTCAAGTAAAGTGGAGGATGTATGATGACCAAAATAATGTGAATTGTCACCATTTAAAGTGGTATGTGTAATCAAATAATACAAAATTAAATCCATTACTGAATTTCTTTTATGTTTATCAGAGACTTTTATTTGATATGTACATATATCACGATTTTTAAGCAGGCATACACTCAATACATACACTGGTATACAAAAAAAATGACAAATTCTTATGAAGTATCAGTGTGTGCTAGGCATTGTTGCTGTTGGGCTTAACGCCATTTTTCAGCACACGATAGGCTATTCATAGAGGCCAGTATTAATGGTGGAGGAAGAAATCACAGGAAAGAACTACCGACCCATGAGAAGCTACTGGCAAGCTTTCTCACATATCCACATTCGACGAATCCTAGACTTGAAACCAGAGGTGAGATGGTAGTGATCCGTAACTGACAGCGCTTTAGACCATCTGGGGCCCCTGCTAGGCATTGCAAAAATGGCATATACATGGCATATAATATGAAAGAGGTAAGGGCAGTGTGAGAAGTATAATTTCACATATATTTAATGATTTATTTACTATGGGTTTGAGGGCTGTTGAAACAGAAAAATTGTTAAGTTCACATTTGTTGCATCATTAATACTCAACAAAGGCATCACAGTTAACAGTGGTACTATAACCACTTGATGAAGTCTTTCATGCTCTCTGATATCATCAATCTGAATTCCAGTGCCTGCTTATTGTCAGTACAGAACAGTTACAAGATTATACAAAATATATGAAAATTTGGAGTATAAACAGCAAATGTTTAAATATTCTTTGAATACTGGTACCAAGGTCAATGACTAATTCAAAGCTATACAGGCTGCAGAAAGTACCTGCTAAAGACCATTTATCAATGTAAATCTGTTTTTATTCTACATTTTAATGTAGAGAGAAACAAAATTATATGATGAAAACAAATGTGAGTTTGAAGTTATTGGAACAGTCTGTACTGTTGGAATTGTATCCTGTAGGAATTGTACTAGAAATAAAAGCATGTACCGGTTATTATAGTTAAGGAAGCATATTTTTGAATGGTTGCTGTGTACCAACTTTAAGAAAGACTATTCATATGGCTTCCCCAGGCCAAGAACTGAAAATATTATCTGCACTGCAACCAGTGCATGCATCCAAATCAAAATACTATCTACAAGGCAACCAGTGAATGTATTCAGATCAAGTCCAAAATACTATCTGCATGGCAACCAGTGAATGCATCCAGATGAAAATTCTATCTGCACAGCAACCAGTGAATGCATGGCAACTAGTGAATGCATCCAGATCAAGTCCAAAATAATATCTGCATGGCAGCCAGTGAATGCATTCAGATGAAAATACTATCTGCATGGCAACCAGTGAATGCATGGCAACTAGTGAATGCATCCAGATCAAGTCCAAAATAATATCTACATGGCAACCAGTGAATGCATCCAGATGAAAATACTATCTGCATGGCAACCAGTGAGTGCATCCAGATCAAGTCCAATCTACTATCTGTAGGGCCACCAGTGAATGCATCCAGATCAAGTCCAATCTACTATCTGCAGGGCCACCAGTGAATGCATCCAGATCAAGTCCAATCTACTATCTGCAGGGCCACCAGTGAATGCATCCAGATCAAGTCCAATCTATCTGCAGGGCCACCAGTGAATGCATCCAGATCAAGTCCAATCTACTATCTGCAGGGCCACCAGTGAATGCATCCAGATCAAGTCCAATCTACTATCTGTAGGGCAACCAGTGAATGCATAGAGTCCAAAAAACTTTGAATTTTACTACTCAGCTAAAACATGCAATGTTATCCATGAATTTGTGTCAATTATTTATTTTCCAAGGAGATAAGTTACAATCTATATGAGCTGAAACCTTTTATATTTATATAATGCTCAAGGATTCGTCCAATAGCTTATATATTAAACTACTCCCAACCCATTTGCCCATCCAACGTTTATTTTGTTGTACCATCAGTTAAGGATGAATATACTGTAATCTCCAACAGGTTTTTTTAATGCTTCAGCAAAAGTTTATTGATGATTTAATTCATAAATTAATCAAATAAAAGAACAAACAATACTCCAACACTGCATGATGCAACGATCCAGACCAAACAACACACAAGTTGAAATGGACCATGCAGTCTCAAATTTAAAATTCTTAACTAATCCTAACCATATTTTTAAAGGTACTATTTTAATTATGCAAGGAGTTACAATCAATAAAGTATACCATAAGTTCCACCAAATGTTATCAAACCCACCTTCAAATGCTAACACGGAATGTACTCGTATGCATTTTACATTGCTGTACATATGACGTATGACCGTGCGACGTAATGACGTTATTTGCTCAAAATAATTCGTTTCAAAATCACTTCTATCAATATTTATTTTGCTTTCGAATCATTATTCAAAAATATTCAAATTATACAACATTCGTCTTCCTAAGTATTACGGTTAAAAAATATATATATATGTAGTTCGGTAAAGTAATGTTTTTAGGCATATTACGGTGTTTACAGAATTTACTAGACTGCTTTCATAACAGTACTTAATAATAATTGCCGATGATATAATTATGATATCGGTGCATAACCAGACTGATATTTAATGGGTTCTACTAAAAACCGCCAAAACGCGGAAAGGTGGTCAAAGATACAAAGAAATGGCAGAGACATTGCAAAGAAGGTACAAACACATCTTAAACCAGTAATGGTGGAAAATACTGAATGTTGATTCGAATTTGACAAAATGTTTTTCGTTCTTTTTAATTGTCTATTTGCACGCACAGTTGTAATGAATTATTGCAAATATTTAGAAATGTCATTTGTCAATAAATATAGAATCTTCTTATCATTATTTATAACATATTGTATGGAAACTAACTGGGCTACACTCAGTATTGGATTAAGACCTTCCTGGGCCCTAAGCACTGAAAATAGTATGGATCCGACCCCATTCTTACAAAATGTAAAACAAAACAAACCTAAAAAAAAAATTACCAAAAGCTAAAATGGCGGGGAAATACCAGTGTTGCCATCATTACAAATCAAAATACTCGCACATGCAGATTGAAATGATCATATATAATTCATTAAATTTTTTTATTATCAACAATTAATTATAATTTTTTTGGGTGCCCCTGCTGGGCTGGTGCCTGTTTGTTGTTTGTTATTAAAGAATAACTGCAGAAGGCGTTATATATGTGATATCACTACTGTTGTGAAGGGGAGTGTGTGTGTGTGTGTGTGTGTGTGTGTGTGTGTGTGTGTGTGTGTGTGTGTGTGTGTGATTTAGATTTTTAACGTAGCTTTAACAAATTTTCGATTATATCGCTATGATGTCTGCAGTGTGACGATTTATAGTGATGTCTACATCCCAGTCACATTATCATGGCACCAAAAGACCAGTCCCAACACTAACCTGTTAATACTGAGCGCTAAGTGAGGCACCTATAAGAACCATTTTTTACAAGTCTTTGGTATGACTCGGCCGGGGTTCGAATCCGCGCCCTCTCGCATCCGAGGCGAACGCTCTAACCTCGTGCCCCCCCGGAGCGGTCAGGAAGGGAAGTACATATTGCCCTGAAAGCATGTTTTCCCATGGACATAAACCCTAGTGAACGTACAACATAAACCAGAATGACATTTTGCAGGGGGTCAGGATTTTTTGCAGCGGGGTCGGGGGGAGGGGTCAGGATTATTTTGGAGGGGGGCAGTCAGTCACGGCCTGGAGAGATAGTATAAGAACCAATCTCAAACTAAAAACTAAAGCTAATATTTATTAAGCGTTTTGAAAACAATCTTGTGACATATTGCTATATATAGTACCAGTACCGGATTAGGTATAAGCTAAACAAGCTACATCTTAGGGCCCCAAAGTCTGAACTCGGTCTGAAGGGGCCACTCAAATTTATTATATACCAAATATGGCCTCTATAGCTTCCCATAGCTTAGGGCCTCGCTTTGTCTAAATCCGGTACTGTGTGTGTGTGTGTGTGTGTGTGTGTGTGTGTGTGTGTGTGTGTGTGTGTATATATATATATATATATATATATATATATATATATATATATATATATATATATATATATATATATATATATAAAGAATACAAATCATATGGCGAATAACAACCCTCTCAAGCGTACTGGATCCACCAAGGGATCACGTGTGTCAGGATTAATTAAAATAGATGCAATAAACTGACGAACTTTTACTATAAGAATAACCGGTATAGAATCAAATATCCGGGATATAATCTGCGTTACATATGTACACAAAGTAAAAATAGATGTCGCTTTGGCTTGTAGACTTTTAGGGAATTATACAACGTCTTCAGTTTCCGCAACTAGTCTATACTACAAGCTGGTTGTATTTATAGTTTTAGCACATGTGAAGACAGAAATGTAGAGGTTTACAAACACAACGTTTTTGTGTTTATTTGTTTGTCGTAACTATGTTTTGTATTTGCCTTTGAAAAAGACTCATTAAGAGTCGAAAGCGCTTAGGCTAGTTAGTTACTAGTTTCGTACTGTTCGTCGTCAGTTTATTGCATCTATATATATATATATATATATATATATATATATATATATATATATATATATATATATATATATATATATATATATATATATATATATGTGTGTGTGTGTGTGTGTGTGTGTATGTACGTACGTATGTGTGTATTTGAGTGTGGAATATCTGATTATTTTTACTGTCAAGTGATATTTTCAGATCTAATTAGATTAAGGCTTATACTACAGTGCCCTAAACACTTGTCACCATAAGAACCCTTCAGCCGACGGTAGCACTACAGCCACAAGAAATACCAATAAGTGTATAAAATGTACACGAAGGTGAGAGGCTGATTTATCAGCCGTGTGGAATCAGTACACAATTATTAAAATCCGGTTCAGTACCAACGAATGTAGTCCCAGTCTATTTTTAGATCACTTTTTCCTGTCTAAAATTGGTGGTGATACTAGAGTAAGATTTTGGCATTCTTGGTAAGGATTTAAAGGCAATAGTTTATTCCTTAAAATTAGAGCTTATGGTGTGGTTGTCTCTGTGTATCTCGGCGACAGTGCACGTTGAGTAATAAGGTCACGGTGATGATCCGGAAGTGAAATCTGTGTTCCGTTGACTGGTGTTATGTTTACAATTCAGCCTCTCAAAAAAATGCAGGTCAACCCTTGACAAGAACTAAACCGTAAAGTCATCTTTGAAGGTATTTTAGATTAACATATGATTTGTATTGATTGTCACACAGTGGAAAGTTCAGTACTGAGAAAGAAATGTAGAGACAATATAGTGAAATTGTGTTCTATGGCCTTGTGCACAATGAGCTTAGTGGGTAATGATCCAGTGTAGTATTAAATTTTGACCCCATTGAATTCTGACACCGTACGGTCTGCTTTCAACGTTGAAAGTTGACCAAGGGTCCGTTCTTGACGTTGAATTTTGATTTTACATTCGTTGAAAACTGATTTCAGTGTTGAATTTTGATCAGATTAATTTCCGGGTTATTTTTTTAACGGATATTGTTTTAAGTTTCGCATACGTGTTTTTATGAATTGTAATAAAGGAAATGCATAGCATATATAAATATGTATAAAATCAACAAAATAAATGTAATGCAGTACATGCATTAATGAAATTATAGATACAGTTATCTTCCTTATTTGAAATGGATATAATGTAATTTTGTTTGTACTTCGTCTGCTTCATTTCATCAAACTTATCAGAAGAAACCAAATAATTAGCATTACCAACTATGTTTGACGATTTAACCCAAATTGTTCAACAACCAATGATCCTATTCGAGCTTTAACCAAACAATATCCACGCTGACAAGCTGAGCATTGCGCCTGTTGTCGTCCTTCGTCAGGACAGGGTTGAGAGGCTAAACAACTCTCACTTTTCCATCCACAATGCTTGTGATGTTCTATATTGTTATCGCCAGTCACATTTCTCACAGTAATAACTGCAACCCAGGAATGCAGTGATACTGGTAATGGCATCAAAGTGTTCATCGTGATAATAGACGTGAATGTATTTTCCGTCTTTGAAATCTTTTCCTCGAAACAACAAAGTTTCACGCACGTCCTGATGTGCACTTTCAATGTTTGGCGTTAAAGTTAAGACGTCCTGCAATTTTTGCATTTCAGGAATGCCACAGGGTGTGTCACACACACACACACACACACACACACACACACACACACACACACACACACACACACACACACAGAGTACCAATTTGTTTCAAGTTTTCTAAGTGGTAAAGCTGTCAAAAAATTAGTAAACTACTTCTACCAGTTACCCAATATAGAAATATTATGATAAGAAAACTCTGCTTGTTGTTTAGATATTTTCTATCATAACCTTCTTCTCGTGTCTAGTTACGAGAAGGAAGAAAGTTCAGCATTCATAAGAGTAAGGTGTCACTTATGATGGTGTAGATACGGTTACATCTTTTTGTGGCGAAGCTTTGGCTACGAGAAGGTACCAAGAATCTGTAAGAAATAGACATGACACTCTTCTGAGCCAGGAATCACACTTTATTGACACATATATATTCTAAAGATACAACATGTAAATTTATTTATGTTGAAACTTCATACAATACATATTACAATACTTATTAAATAGTTCTTCCACAATCTAGTATTTCATTTGTCCATTCATTTTTCTGCATTTTTGAATACAAGTGATTTAAATATTCAAAGAGCCTAAAATTCAATAACTGTAATAAATGTATTTTATTTTATTTATTGTAAGGTAACGACCTGAAAAAGATCTGTGAGTTTTATACTTATTATTTAAAGAATATATATTTATTCTCAATTAAATTATAACATGAAGCTAGTAATTATTTCAAACAAATACTAATGAACATCGAAGCTGTAAAATATTTCATTACATTATGACTGTGGAAGAAGGAACTCAATAATATTATATTATAAATACAATGAACATCAATGAAATAAAAATAATTCAGAAGAATACCACAACTCACTATAAAATCTTTAACTTTCAAAAGCGAGTATAAAGCATAATTTTATTACCTGTAAGAAATAGACATGACACTCTTCTGAGCCTGGAATCACACTGAGAATAACCAGTCCAGAGCCTATTTTTATATCCTGGAAACTGGCAATTATCAGCGTTTCATCCGAGGTCACAAGATGTCTGTCTAAAAATCACGCGTGCTTCTTGCGTACTAGTCAAGGACAGCTTTAACTTTATATCAAGTTTTAGGGGGGGTGAGATAGAGTGTGAGTGTGTGGACAGTATTTTTCCTAAGTACGACCTTTTGGATCATACATTGTCCATAACCTTCCAGTTGTAAGTGGTCATTCACATTGTGAACTTTTAACTTAATTAATTCCCTAGGGTGATTATCAATTACTTTGTTCCCAACATCACAACGCAATTTAATAAGGTTTTATTGACTGAACCGCGAAATAGCATGCCACTCGCGGCTTTATCTGTTGTTAAACTATCAACTCGGCTATTAATTAGATTTTTCCATTATCAAGTCAAGCTAAGGAAACAATCATAATGTTTAATCTGAATTCATTCCAATGTCCTATTATCTTCAGGATATGAATTATTGATTGGGCCATGCTTCTCCTACAATCCAAATCAATATCATAGCATTCTCTTAAATTTGCAGGTGTTTGTCTTCCAATAACTAGAGATTTCAATATGTTGTACACAAATTAATGTTATCGTTTCTTTCTTTTAAAATTGATATCTTGATAGAAATACCATAGTTAAAGCTAGCTTCAAAATACAGGGAGCTGAAAGAGGGGCATTATAACTAGACAGTCATCTGGGAATCGAAAAGCAATTATATCTGACATAGGCGAAATTTACACTTGCTGATAACAAGGTGACGACAGATAAAGCAAATACTGGCAGGCCAGTACCAGAATCTAGAAATATTCAGACCTGGGGTCTGTCTTAGGAGTACATCTAACACAGTGGTTCTTAACCTGGGTTCGATCGAACCCCAGGGGTTCGGTGAGTCAGTCTTAGGGATTCGGCGGAGGTTAAGACACACCCGACTCATATGATTCGTGATGACACCTTCCCCCCTGGCCATCATTGGCTGCAGGTGATCACGCAAAATCGCTTGGCCTATCTGTGCTGCAGGAAATTTGGTGCGCCCAGTAGTCGACTTATGACTGTCGTGATGGTAGGTCGAGTGATTTCTTTCTTAAAATTTGAATCCCTTCATACTAACTATGTCGAGCAAAAAAAAATAAAATAGAAAGTGGTTGGACTTTCACAGGATTTACATGTATAACGGAACATGAAGGGAGTCAGCGTCATAACTGCATTATTTGCAATGCCAAGTTGAGCAATTCTAGTCTAGCACCGGCAAAACTAAGAAAACACTACCTTAAGCTGCATGGAGATGGAAAATACAAGAACACAACGCTCGCTGAATTCAAAATGAAGAGAGCCAGATTCGATGAAAAGGCTGCTTTGCCTGTTCTCGGCTTTGTACCCATCAAAACGATCTTCACAGCATCGTACGAAGTTGCTT